TTGTACAAAATTGGCGTGTATGCCATATTGTGCTGTACGTGTCGCACTTGCAAGATTGAAAATTTTTTCAATAGATAATATTCTAGACGTATGTCTACTTTCAGGAGTACGTAGTCCGATTTTGGGTAGGAACAATTCATTAAATGGAAGAATGTGGTCGAGAACTTTCTATATGACTTCATTTGGTAGGGAAAATATAGTTTTTGCATACGCTACTTTCCAATTATCAACTTTTTGATAATGAATGCATAATTTGTATAGTAGAAATCCTCCATGCATAGTCACTGTAACTCACCAACTAAAATTTTCAACACATGCAAGTATTATCATTCAACTCCATGATTTATACGATATTAAGTCCGCAGCTCACGGAGAAGCAAAATTGATCTAATTTTTCCATTCGTATCTTTCACGCTATCTCTAAAGTCTCAAAAGGTTTATATTCGTAAATTGGGATTAGCACATTTGTGCACAAAGTTAATTCAGCACGTCGATGATGAAACCATTATTGTAGCTTATTACGAATGTGCTCAATCATTGCAAGAATTAGTCACACTCGATCCCTATTAAATGATACATTAAGTGACTCCGCATTGTTAGACGTCATTATATTGAATTGACGTCCTAAAAAATGTGATCGTACCAAATGTTCAATCCCCATCTTCAGTATTAGATACTCCCATGCATATTATGATTTATTTTCTATTTCGATCATGAACTTATTAAACTATTCGTAACTGTAAGCATATGTAGTTCTCCTAAGAAATGCAACGATGTCATTCCCCTAATACTTAGTTTTCCAATTTCCTTGTATATAGTATATGCTATAATCATGATGTGCTTCGAAAAAAATTTCACCAATACTATTTACTATAGACTACCCTGGTCAGTTGCAAAGACAAGGTTCTCGACATCTTCAATTACTTTCCTCAACTTTATGAAGAACTAATGCATCACTAAATTATTCCCACCATCGACTATACTGAATACATGAGGGTGAATTTTGATGTTAGCATCTTGACATGCAGCAATATTCAACTTTCCTTCGTATCTAACCTTTGGGGTTGTAAAATCGACTAAAATTATATGTTGCATCGCATTTTGAAATCCCCGAATGCATCGTCCAAAAGCTATGAAAATATACTTAAAATAATTATCGAAATAAGTTTCAATAAAAATTGTCAAGTCGGGATTAGTTCTCCTCATGTTATGACAATATGGCCAATTTAGCATAACTCTCCTCTGTCAATCCCATTAAATCCTCCAATGCACATTCTTTATCCTTCCAGACCTTTTGGTAGCTCATGACCACACCGTACTCTTGATGAATGTCGTAAACGATGTGTGTAGGTCTGTAAATTGTCCATGGGTCTTTAAACTTGTGCATTATTAGTTGACCAATAAACCATGATCCGACTTGCATATGATCATTTCGATAAATACCTACTTCACAAGTATGTTCTTGTGCATACTTGTGAACTACAAAGAACTCATTCATATCCATCTTCCTCACTCACAAATGCCAACTGCATTTGCTAGCAACATAGATAATTGTATAGATAGATTTGTTTGATTTCTTCACTTTAAACTCATAGTTATGCTTCTTTGCAATTCGGTGTACAGCTTCCTACAAATCTCTCTTCGTGTCAAACAGTTTCTTGACATGCAAATCTTCATCATCGAAAACAGACTGTGAGCTCAACCCAGTCTATAAGAATCATGTCTCTAACTGGATAAAGCAATTAGATCCTAATTTGTAAATGTAATTTCATCCCCGTTGCCTTGAATTGCCTTGACAATTTTGTGCGTAATAGTGAGATCATGATGAATAACAACTGGTTCAGAAATAATTACATCATTCTCACAAGCTATCTCCAATGTGTTCCAAAAATCATTCACATTACGAACCCCTTCATCGAAATCTTAGTGTTCACTTTCTTAGACATTCTTCCTCTGCAAATAGTAGTCGTCGTGCCATTTTTGTTCAATTCAATTAGAAACTTCATTTACACTTCATAAGTAACTTTTTGCAGGTAGAATCGAAACTGTTGAGTGCTCATTAAATAAAAATCTCAATTCTGTATCGTACTAAGAAGGATCGACGTTGGCAAGTTTTGTAAATTATGGTAATTATGTATATGAAGACTCAATGTTATACAATTCCAAAAACACCATCTTCTTTACTCGTTCATTTCCACGCCCACTGACCATTTTTATTCCTTTGAAACTTACGAAAGTAACAAACCATGAAACATGTTGATCTCACATTTGCATTACGAACCAATGTTTTTCAGAAAAATTAAATTAACCATAAGAAAATAAATAAGGGTACTAAAAAAATGGTGAAGTCTAGACAGTTGGGCCATCCTTTAACGAACGGCCTAGCTTGGTCGACGCCCTAGCTCTAAGCTGTCTACTAAACGACGACCTAGTTCCTTGGCCAAGGGCCATTCGTTAAAGGACATTAAAGGAAGGTCTAATTGCGTTGCCTACAAAGGATGGCTCGGAAGGTTGGGCCGTCTGTTAAAAGACAGCCCAGTCATCTACCTTTAAAATTAATATTTTTAGATTTATCCATTTAGATATTTTTTTCTCTTTTTTGCTTAAAAAATTATAGACCTGTTTAATAAAGCGTACGAACTTGTCTACGTGTTTCGAAATAAGATTTAATGACTAAAAAATTTATTAATTTAATAAATTTGAAATTAAATATACGTAAATATAATTATCTATTTGAATTGATGGATTAAGTGTTTGATAAATTTTTGAGGTTTTAAAGTTGAAGCAGTTGAAAAATAAGTGTTGAAGAAGGCAGATAAATAAAGTGACTTGATTTTAAAATTTTAAGTTGGAAATTTTGTTTTTATTTTATAACTTAAAAGGGTATTATTGTCCTTTTAACATAACTATATTTTTATAACGGGTAATTGGCACAAAATATCCCTACCTTTCAAGATTTTTGTGAAAAATGTCATTACCTTTCATTTTTTGGCAATTTCACCATCACCTTTGCCTTTTATTGTGCAAAACGTCCTTCCGTCCACCCTCCGTTAAAATGCACTGTTAAATCAAAGAAAATGGGATTTTTATAATCAAAAGGTAGGGTTAAGATCGTCCAAACACATTTCTCTTTATTGGCTTCACTCCCGCCCCTTCATTACGCATCAACCCTTTCTCTGGCAAAGGAGACGACGCGATCTCTTCACCCAATAGAACCCATGTTTTGTGCATTCCATTCAATGGCCTTCTCTTTTCTTCATAGTGGGTTTGGTTATTGATGTTGATTGTTGAGTACTAGTGTTGATATGTTTGGTTATTAATGTTGGTTGTTGAGTATTGGTTTTGCTGAATTTGGTAATTGAGCTTAGTTGTTGACTACTGGTTTTGGTGCGTTTGAAATGGGTCTTATGGAATTTCCATTGCAGGGCATATAAGCAGGGTTGTATCTATGTAGGGATGGGTTTCACAATTTTTAACAAAGGTATGGATGTTTTTCGCAAATACAATGAAAATGTAGGGATGTTTTGTTCAAAGACAATATAAAGGTAGGGATGTTTTTCAAAAAAACAATGTAAATGTAGGGATGCTTTGCACAAAGACAATATAAAGATAGGGATTGTTACCACAAGTTCAACTTCACATTAAATTGGGAAGAAGACCCGTTTATCTTCCTCATCTTCTCCATTTCTATGCATTGTCCATTCACATAATCACATTTTAATTGATCTTCTCACTTTACCCTTTATTTAGACCCTTTGTAAGCACAAAATGAGGATGAATAATTCAATTTTATCGACCACATATTCATTCTTTTCATATACGTTGCCAAAAAATTTTTAGCAATCAAGCATTACAGTAGCCATGATGAAGTTCAACCATAAATATAATCCTTTCTATCATTTTTCCTTATGTATTGAATGAAATATTTCTTTACAAATTATTTTATTTATTTTCATATTACTTTTTAGTTACGCATAACATTTGAAGAAGGCGAGAATGAAGCCTCAATGAAGAACAAATGTGTTTGGACAATCTTACCCTTGCCTTTTGAAAATAAAAAACTCATTTTCTTTGATTTAATGGTGCATTTTAATGGAGAGTAGATGTAAGGATGTTTTGCACAATAAAAGGCAAAGGTGGGGGTGAAATTGTCAAAAAATGAAAGATATAGACGTTTTCTACAAAAATCTTGAAAGGCATAAACGTTTTGTGCCAATTACGCTTTTGTAACTTATTAACATCGTCAAAGGTATCCTTGTCTTTTGTTTTTGAAAGGGCCATTATGGTGAATAACTAATAAGTTAGGCTCATATGGACCAATCTTGACTTGGCAAATCTAAGAACTCTCCGAAGCGAAAACCCTACCCACGTGTAGAAAAAACAATTAATCCATACAAAGAAGAAGCCGCTTCACCTGCTCAAATGATTCTTACAAGCATTCTCACATCAATGATCTTGCATACATGCCACCATAAAGAAAGGTCGCTTTGTATAAAATTTGCTCATATGTGGTTTGTTTACCATTATGTTGCTTATTTTTTAAGTTAGAATCTTTAAGTTCATGCTATGGTGAGTCTTTATGTTTTCATGTATATTTTTTGTTCAATTTTGTACTTCAATTTATGCATCTGGATTCTGATGAGATTATTGTGTATCATTTTGCACATGAAGCAATCATTCTGTTCTTTCTTGTTAATGAAGATGTTGTATGTTTAATTGCTTTAGGATGAATCCGAAATTGACACTACACCAAAAAATGGTTTTTGCAATGGCCAAAAAACGATGCAAAAGACATTTTGTAGCATTTTGACGTATGTTGCGAAGGTTGATGTTGCCGTTGAGGGAAGAGTTTTTGCAACGTTTAACGCAAAAACATCTCTTTTGCAACGTTCATCAAGTCTTTTGCAATGTTGAACAAACGTTGCTGTAGGTGAATTTTTTTTTTTTTTTTTTTAACAGTGATTCACATATATCAACCACAAAGCATAATAGAAAATAACTATATCAAATAACTCCAATAATCATTATTAATTGAACTCTAAAATGTAATAATATTCGTACAAAATCCAGATCCAAAATTCTAAAACACCTAAAAATCCAATACATTTTCTCAAAAAAACAAAAAAAAAAAAAAAAAAAAAAAAAAAAAAACCACTAAGTAGTGAGTGAAAACACCCTAGGCTTCCTTAATTTTCTTTTCAACAATCTTCGACATGAGCTTTGTCTTAAATATCGGTCCTGACCTATAAAAAAAAGGGAGATAAAGATAGATACCACATTTTAGACATTTGTACCAATTATAATCGAAAAGAAAAATAAGTAAGAACCATTGGCAATACATGAACCTGAAAACGAAAACCCATAAACCACATTAGAATCTAAATATTGGAACTCAATTTTCTTGAAAGAAAATGGATGAATGAAAGTGCATGTTATGTGTTGTGTAAATTACTCACCGAGCTCCGAACAACCATTGAAGGTTTTGCATCATGGTTGCAAAGATCGAGAGACACTTCCATGCCTGAATTTCCACATCCCACAACTACAACTCTCTTTCCTCTAAAACTTTCACCAGAATTATAATCACAGGCATGAATGCAAAACCATCAAGAACATATTCTCATGTAGATTTCAAGCTAGCACTATAGAAAAGTAAGCACATTTGAAGGAGCTAGGCGGCCATAAAATTTTAAAATGAGCTGACTCGTGTTTGGCTCACCCCATAGTAAGCACGAGCCAGCTTATGCGGTGGGCCTAGATGAGCTAGTTTCAGCCTATTAACATCCCTATTTTAAGCCTATGTTTGACTCATTTTTATAAACACTAAACTACTTTATATCCACATATTTTCTAGAACCCACAAGTACTACCTTCTTATCCAACACTTATTCTATATATTTATAATTTAAAAAATATACACACTTCCCAACCATGCTATAAATCATTTGTAATTTATTCTATCCAAGCTTAAGAGTTATTAGTCAGAGTTAAATGACAAAACAGATTTGAAACCACAGCTTATTCTCAACCAAAGGTGAAATCTAAAGGAAAAGAACTGGCTTTGATGATGAAATTGTTGAAGAAGGATTACCTGCATTGACTCAATTTCTATATGCACTTCAATTGAAAATTCTACAAATACAGTTAACTAAGAAAAATTGTTTTCTCTGAAACAAAAAACTTCTGTCCAAGCTTAATTATGCATATAATTCAAAAGTTCATTCTTTCAAATCTCAATTCAAGGTCAAATTTAGCTTGAAAAAATTGAACTTAGTTTACAAAACAGTATCTCTTGAATTTTTATAATGTCGTCTGAATTTTACCAAAGTTCTCCCGCAACATAATGTATTATATTGAAAAATCAAAGCTCCAATCTTTTTTTCCCCCTCTTCCTTTGATAAAAATAAAAATAGTAAAAAAGGAAGCTTCAAATTCAACAACCCAAATAAGAAAATCAACAAGGAAACCACATCAATTTCATTTTAACAGTAAAAAAAAATAAGACTCGTACAAATCGAGAAAGATCACATCGAGCAACATTTCCATATCCAAAAACAGGCTATAAGCGAAGCAAAATGAAAACCTCTACACACAAACACATCCAAAAATATATCTATATATACCTATCGTGTAGATGGTTGAACTCTGGATTCAGAAGTAATTATGGCATTTACCGCAGCATTTACAGTCTCCATGCTATTATGAACATTACTCATGGTTATTCCTTTTCCGCACCAGTAAAAAGGAATATCAAACTCAAACTCTCCGGCGAATTGATGTCAAATTTCGGCAGTTTGACATGTGGGTTGATGAATTTGTACCTGTAGCTTTCGTCAGAAGTCAATCAAGAAAGCTACGAAAGATCACATGGCATAGTCGAAGAAGGTAAAACACACACACAAACCAACCAATAGTGCATTGAGGCCATCCTCCAGAGACCCCAATAAGAAAGCATCCTGAAAAGGAAGTCATCGCATGGCAGAATATCCAAGGGTACATTGAATTGTTAAAAAAATACTTATGGAGAAGAGCACAAAAAAGACAAACTAAAAGGTGTCGGTTCAGTTACCAACGAACTTGCCACTCCACAGACAAGAAACCTCATGTTTATATCATCATCATATATCTTCACGGCGGGAAGGTCACCAGAGGCTCTTTCTTCATCATCCTCGGGACCCATCTCAGGTAGAGTTACACTAATATTTGGAGGTTCCCCGAGAAGATTAGGGCCCAATTTATCATTAACTTCCAGGGTGTTATCATGAAGGACCAGATTACTTTGAATGCAATGAAGCCTAAAGGAGGCATGTGCAAGCTGAAATACATCACAAGTGTGACAGTATGAACTGCAACTGCAAAAAAAGAGAGCTTCATTGAGAAAATTAATGTTTTCCAAATTCACAGAGGAAGTGAAGAACATATACAAGGAGTTGAAGAAAGTAGCAAAATGCATGTTCTAATTACTTTGATCCATGTCTGATCAGCTCTTGCAATAAAACTGATGGTCACTGACATCAAGTATAACCCACTCAATCGGAAAACATAAGAACAGGGTAAAATATACTGATTGTCAGTGTACATAGGGCAAAATTTCATGTTGCCTGAACTTGATCTTCTTCCAAAATGGTCAATTTACCTCCTCAATCGTTTCACTTTAGTCATCTCGTTAGTTGGCCATCCATTATTAAAACAATTATGTGCATGTCTTAATGGGAAATCTGATAGAGCATTTTTCTCCTCTAATTTTTAGACCAGCTGTTTAAATTTGTGCAATTCAGAACCACCCCCAGGTTAGCACCATTACTTTCTGTTGAAGCATAAACGCCATTGCCATCACCACCTTCAACCTTAATGTACGGCAGAATAACTAAGCAGGTGACATAACTCAAACGTTTTAGAAAGCAAAGTGACCATTTTGGAACGAAATGGATTTCGGTGATTAACAAGAAATTTCACCTTAACCCAAAGTACAGAGAAGAGCAGTCCAGAGAAAAGTAAGCACATTTGATACCCGCAGGGATGTTGAGCATCGTAAACAGTATTTCCGTTGGCATGAGTAGAGCCGTTTTCCAGAACTGATGCATCTGGTTTGTCATAGGCATGGAAGCTGCTGGTCCATTATTCATACAATCAGTTTCAAATTGCAGCCATCAGGGGAAGCATGATCTGAAAAGTTTCATCATGTTTGGCTCGATGAAGCTCCTTCACTTCTAACAAATGATTTTCTCCTTCGATTGTGGAGCGAAATCGATTTGGGGGTTAGGGTTCATTCACGGATCTGGACATAATTTGAGGATGGTTTGGAGGGGAGAGAGCTAAAGGTTTCAATTCAATGGGCTAAGGCGTGTTTGGGAATTGCACTTTAAATGAGCTAGCACTTGATTTCCTATTTTGGAGAGAGTTAACACCCTCGTATGAGATGAAGAAAGAGAACATCCTCGTATGAAATGAAGAAAGAGGAGAAGAGGCCCCCGGGGCACATCCGAGTTGGTGGAACAATTGCATTGGTGGGCTCGCAACCCCAACGTGGAGAGTTCGATTCCTGGAAGGCAACAGTCTTGAAGGGGGATTTATCTCGAAGGCAAGGCATACTGGAAGGCAGTGAGGAGAGCTCTCTTAGGGCCAGGAGCATCAGCGGTGCAGGAACTTGGGAGCCAACAAGGGCACAACCCGCGGTTTACCTCCTCGAGTCGCTGAGGGGCCGGTGGCTAGAGGTCCAAGAATTAGTCTGGCTAAGCTGGGATACCTGGGTAAAAAAAAAAAAAAAAAAAGCAAGGGCACAACCCGCGGTTTACCTCCTCGAGTCGCTGAGGGGCCGGTGGCTAGAGGTCCAGGAATTAGTCTGGCTAAGCTGGGATACCTAGATTAAAAAAAAAAAAAAAAAAAAAAAAAAAAAAAAAAAAAAAAACGGAGGAATAGAGGGTGAAGAAGAGGAAGATGGAGGGAGGAGATGAAAAGGAAAAGGGATTATTAAACCTAATTTTTATTTTTAGTTGGGTGGCATTTTGCAACGTCAACGTTCAAAAAATTGTTGCAAAATAATGCTTTTTGCAACCTTTTTTAAATATTACAAAATATGGCTTTTTGCAACATTCAAAAAACGTTGCGAAAGACTGTATTTTGCAACGCTCAAAAAATGTTGCAAAATATGGTCTTTTGCGTCTTTTGCAACGTTTTTTAAACGTTGCAAAAATTTAGACTTTTCGCAACGTTTTTCAAACGTTGAAAAAAATAAAACTTTTCGTAACATTAAAAAAATGTAGCACAAAATAACATTGACAACATTTGTGTTAAAAATTTTGCAAAAACTCAATTACATTAACTAATTGCAACTTTCATTTATTAAAATATTGTAATAGACTCTTTTAGCGACATTTAACTACTGAATATTGCCTTTTATGTGTTACAAATAACCATTTTTGGTGTAGTGTGAAATTGAAGAACCTGTAGAGGAAGCTGTCTTCATTACAGGTGCCCCTGTAGCAAAGGCTATCAGATCCTTCATTTTGGAAACAACTGTTACTACAATCTCATAAATTTATGAACTACTAATCCCAAATTTACTCGAAGATTTCATCATCAATAGCAAAGAGTCAACACTTTTTTCCCTTGTTTATCAAAATTTGTGTCTACCAATTGTACATAAAACATTAGTTATAAAATGTTCATAGTAGCAAAGCTTGCAGATTGTTGTTTCGATTAGGTCCTTCTAGATCTCAACTTACTAATTCGTGTTCCGTACTTAGGAGTGACTCATATTTGGGTGATATTTATAAGAAAGATGTCCCTTGTGATGATTTAGCTACTCAATCATATGTTTATGCCAAGAAAAAGCAAGATGAGAATTATGATACATATAATGATTAGTGTCAAAGGAAAGGCACGTGCGATATGTTGATGAGGCAAAGTTGGAAAATATATATGATGAGACAAGGATACCATGTACATAATTTTGAAAATGTTTCAAAGACCAGTTGGACGACCCTATCGGTATAAATTATCCACCGACTTCTTAGCCACAAGCGGGCCTTTCCCAACTCAAAAAGATATAGAAGATGCATTTTTCACTTTTCTTTCTTCCTTTGGAAATAGTCTTTCAAGCTTCTATTGCACTCATGGCTTTCGACCCCATTAGGTTTTGATAAGAATAAGGCTAGGTGATTTGTATTGAAGTGATGAGCCATGTCACTCTTTTTAGAAGTGATATTCTTCGATTAACAATGATAAATACCTAGCTTCTACTGCACTCACGTCTTTTGACCCTTATCCAAAATTTCTTCCTCAAGTTTTGACAAAAATATGGATAGATGATTTGTAATGAAATGACAAGCTATGTCACTCTTTTTAGAAGTGATATTCTTCGATTATCAATGATAAATATCTAGCTTCTACTGCACTCACGTCTTTTGACCCTTATCCAAAACTTCTTCCTCAAGTTTTGACAAGAATAGGGATAGATGATTTGTAATGAAATGACAAGCTATGTCACTCTTTTTAGAAGTGATATTCTTCTATTAACAATGATGGATGTTTATACAATTTTTTTAACATTTTAGTCATTAATTTTCATTAGTTTTGAGCTTTTTGAAATTTGGTTGTATTTGAATTTGTAGGTTATGATTTCATAGAATTGATCTCCTGCCCCAGTGGACAGGATAAAAACTTTTCATTATTGATGTAGGAAGAGAACTTTAGTTATGATTTTCTGAATTTAGGACAATTACATAAAATTATAACCAAGGTTCCTTTGTCAAGTCAGCATGAGAAGTTTATATTTTGCCCATAGAGGGTAGGAGATCAAAATTGTAAGACCATATTGCTCAAGTTGTTGTCCAGAAAGTTTCAAATTTTTGCGTGAGCTATTGAATCACTTAGCTAATTTAAAATTGCGGGTTATGATTGTATGTAGAAATTTTAACTTATTTTTTATATAGTTGAGTGCGGGATCATTTTCAAGCTTGAGCATGATTCATTTTCATTTAAAAAAAAAAAGGTGGAAGGATAGAACATGATTCATTTTAGGGCCATTTTCAAATTGCAATTGTTTGGCTAGGGTTAGAATGAATATACTTTATTGTGAATGAAGCTCACACATATATAGGAAAATATATATGGGCCAAGGGATTAATGGACCGATCCCAAAATGCAATTGGTTAATTAAATAGGCCCAATCAATTAAATAGTCCATGCAACGTCGATATATATATGGGACCCTCTCCACTTGATCATGCTACGTAATTTATAGGTGTAACAGCTAGGTAACAGGGTGATAGATCAAACATGGGCAGTATATTCTATTCATCCAATTGATATTAGGGGTGTAAGCGGTTCGATTTTACCGATTTTTGACAGATTTTCAAACCAAACCGTTTAAAACGGTTTGAGAAAAACCAAAACCTAAACCAAACCATTTCGAACGGTTTGAAAAAAACTCAAACATAAACCTAACGGTTTGATCCGATTTTAAACTGCCGGTTTCGCGATATATTTTTTTGCCCGTCTACTTTTATGTCATTAATTCATTGAATTCAATATATATTTATATCTTACTAGTAATAAATCTAAAACAAACTAAGCCCCTGTTTGAACCAAATTTTTGGGATAAAAAAATGAAAATTTGGATCGTTGTCCCACAAGTTCAGCCGCCTTTGTTGACATACTATTTCATGCGTGGGACCCAGTCTCCTTTCCAACAGTCAATTTTATCATTATAATGATATGGAAAATATGGCTCAAACATGGGCTAAATATATCTACTATAAATTTAAATACCAACTAAATCAAAGTAAAATCACAATAAACTAAAACATAATTTTTTTTTTTCATTTTTTCACCTTTTTAGGCTAATAACGATACAATAACGTTACAATAAAAGTTTACTAAACTAGATATAAGGCCCAAAAAATATAATGATGTCCAACAAGATCTCGTGATCATCATATCTGAAAAAAAGGATACTAATTAAATAAAGAGAATAACCACCCACAATAATAAAACAATTGTTTATAATATCTGAATATAATAATTATACAAGTTTACGTTTGTATGATGTTACGAAATGCATTTAATTTCATATTCTTACCTTAATTTGCTCAAAAAAATTATTGATCTGAAACTTTATTCGTAACAAATATTATCACCGAAGGTCTAGAATCTCTTTGTCTCCGATTTGGTTTAATGAACTTCAATTCAATTTTGAAGAGACGTGAAAAATTTGAAAAAGAAGTGTGTGGTGACGGTGGCTCTAGACTTTGTTGGGAGTCGACTGTAGTTCATCTAAATTCTGAAGAGAAAAAAGGTTTTTGATAGATTATGTTAATCTTGAAATTATTAGATATATATTAGGATTATTGGATAATAATAATAATAATATATATGTATTAGAAAATTAGAAATTGACAAAAATAACCACAAATGATAAAACTATTAAATTTTACATATTTGGATGAATTTTCAAAAAATTTCATTTTTTCATTTTTTTTATTTTTACATATTTTTTCGCCGGTCCGGTTTGGTTTTAAACTGCAATTAAAATTCTCAAACCTAGAGGTCAAAACCATTTCGTTGACCAAGTCTACGTGGCACCAAATCGACGGTTTCTAAAATACGGTTTCGATTCGATTTTCCGATTTTGCGATTTTTACTTACAGCCCTAATTGATATGTGTTCTTAAATAGGATGAACACTCTATTAGTTTCTATTATTGTTACTTGAAGTTGTATCTTAAAACAATTATGCCCCAAATTTAAAAGTAAAACGATGTCACTTTTTCAATAACATTGAAGGTAATATTTTTTGGAAAGTGTTAAACCTTCCATGTTTCAAAATTGACATGATATATCACTTTCCTTTTTTTTTCCTTTTTTTCCTTTTTTTTTTAAATGTGACTTAATAATTTTTAACGATGCTAAGCCTTATACGTTTCAAAAGTGATATATTTTTTGGTTGGAAAGGTAATGTTTTTACTTGTTTGAGTCCCATTTTATGCTAAAATGAATTTTGTAATCGTGCTTTTTTAGAGAATGTGTAGTTAAAAAGTAAGAAAAAAATTTAGGTTTACTTGCAAATATTTTGTTGATAAAATACGTGGTTGAAAATGAGTATAAAAAAAATGAATAATTAGATAATGGGGATCAAACATGGGCATAATATTTTCTTAACAGTGTTAAACCTTACATGTTTCAAAAGTCATTTTATTGAAAAAGTGACACCACTAATAGTGTTAAAATCTTACATTCCTCTCAAACAGTTTCCTCCAATCTGTTAATGCACATTTCAAATATGAAGAGCTTCTTGGACAGTTGAATTATTTGCCCAGAAATATGATAATACATAACTTTGAAACTGTACAAAGAAATAAAATTTTACATAAGTGGCATTTCATTTCACTTTCTCTTTCAACAGTTACACCCCTACTAGTATTATTTTAAAAGTAGAAAATGAAGTACAGAAGTCATTAACATGTATAGTAGTTTCATAAATTTTCCAACTTTCATTTCTTTTCTTTTCTGGCTTCATCAATGTTGTTGAATTTTGGCATGATTTTCAATTGTGGCCAACCTCCCCACATCTTCCATATATTGTACTTTGGATTTTCTTTTTTCTTTTTTATGGTATTTTTTTTCTCTAGGTGATCCAAAATTTCTTTTTGGATCAGGAGCCAATACTATTTTTGTTTTTACTTTATTCGGTATAGTTTGATCATTGTAATTTCCCACTAAAAAAATTGTTCCACTGTATGTTTGAATATACATCTCCGTTGTATAATATTTTGAACAATACGAATATGAGTTTTCCTTAATCCTTGCAATAACTGCAAATGCATGTGCATATGGAATTTTGTTCATAACGATGAAGACATTAATTTTATTCATATATGTAAAAAAATATACAAATAAGATAGTTTGAGACTTTTTTTATCAAAAAAAGTGACACAGCATGTCACTTTCAAATTTCAGCGCATCGATTTACATGCATGAGAAATATAGTATTACACCATGTCACTTTTTAATGTAAAACAAAATTTGAATTCATACATTTTTA